TTTATTTCAAAAGATGTTGGATGTTCCTCATTTTGGAGGAAGGAAGAAGGAACCCACCACAGACCAGGCAAGAAGGAACGCAGGATTCCCGAATATCTATTTTCTGTTTCTTCAAGCCAGTTCCTTTCTTCCCAATCTTGCCCTGACTAAGGTCTCCGGCCCTGCGGGCAGGACTCCCCCTCAGGTGCAGGGAAGGGGCAGGATGTAAGGACAGGCACTTGCAGGTGAGACGGTGGCGGGTACGGGGAGAGGGAGAGGCCCCCGCTCCACCTGGACTTCCGGCTGACGTGGGGCGAGGGGCCTGTTCTCCAGCCAAGCCTGAGGGAGTATGTCCCTTGGCTGGTGTTGAGTGCCAGCAGGAGAGGGCAGAGCCAGGCACAGAGCTGCCAGGCCCTAGAGGCACCCTCCCTGCCCACTCCCCACAACCTCCCAAACCACACCCCAGTTGCTCCAGTGGCTCCTGGCAGGGTCACCAGACGCAGGGGCAGGCCAGTCCCAGCCACAGCAGGAGCAAAAGCCATCAGACTTGTTTGTCAACTCTTTAACACGAGGGCACACCACAAAGATATACAAAGATACACACAACACATGCACACAGGCATACATGCACGCATGCAGACGTGCACGCACGTGCACACACACACGTGCGTGCGGCGGGCCCACAGCCTCTGCAGAAGAAGTGCAGAGACCCAGGAGTGAGGGGCAAAGGAGTTTGTTCAGTAGGGCAGAGTTTGTTTACCCCAGAGCATCACTCAAGCGTGTGGTACTCACCCGCCCCCGCATAAAAATCAACTCTTTACACACGCACTTCTCCAACACACAAGCCATCCCCAAGCCTCGGAAGCACAGAGCTGGACAGCACGCGGTGTGCATGGTGAGGAAGCTGATGGGAGCCACCTGTGGTCCCCAGGCTCAGTCTGGGTGGTGGGGCCTTGAGGACCATCACAGATGCAGAGCCATCAGTGGGCCCCATGAGGACACTCATCAGGTTGTGTGGAGGACATGCCCTGGAAGATGGAGAGACAGGAACCCAGCTCCTGGTGCCTCAATGCAGCCCCAACTCTGGGACATCCCCCTTTGTGGACCTCCGTTTTCTTCCCACACGACGCTTAACTTCCTCAAACTTCCCAGATTTAACCAAACTGGGGGAAAACGTCCCATCCCACCACAACGATCCTGGTTCTGTAGACCTTCCGAATCCCCAGGGGGAAAAACATGGAACAAAAAAGTTCCTTCACTATGGCAAAAGGCCTGAGGAAAAGCAAGAAACAACAGGAAGGTGAGCACATAGAAACAGAACACACAATGGCGGGTCTAACAAGACCAAAACATCAAGAATCTCAATTCAAGTGAATAGACCAAGACTCTGAAATTGGGCAGAATGCAATTAGACAAAATCTGGCCCAAGACGGTTCACGTAAAGCCACCGAAAAGGAAACTCCTGGTTCTGGGTTGGAAGGCTGAGGAGACAGTAGCAAAGCACGTCCAGTTACACGTTTGTCTGCAGAGCGGTCAAAGGACAGGCTCACACGGGGCCTGGGACAGCGCTGCTGGTCTCTTATAGAATTGGATCCAAGGACCCAAGGAAGCACTAGGAAGCCAGCTCTGCAGTTGCCTCCTGCATTAAAACGTCCTCTCCACCTCTCTGAGCTGAATGGGCACCTGCCTGCCGATGGGCTGTCTCAGACCCCGGTACTTACTCTGACTTAGATGTTTATTCTCCTCCAGGAGAGCCCCTGCTCAAACCAGGCGAGCACAGGGCCCCCCAATAACCACCAAGGGGGCTGAGCAACCATTTCTTTATCAAAAGCACTTGGAAATGCTGAAAGTGTTCTCATCTCGCCAGGAAGCAGAGTCTTAGACTACACAAACCCTGCCTGATTTGCTAGGACACTTTGTGCTCGGACCCAGCTCCGAGGAACAGCCGGTCCAGCCCCCTGCAGTGCTGCAGCGGGACCAGCTTGCTGCTTCTGTTGCTCTTGGTGGTTAGCTTTCCCAGGCAGGAATCTCACCGGCTCATAATTACAATGCGCTGTGATTGGTTCTCTCATGAGGAGGTAAGGCTTCTGAAGTCAAGGACCTCCAACACAAGAAGTGCAGGCCATAAACCCTCGTGGCCTTCATGAAACAAGGACTTTCAGAGACAAGGGGGCTGACACATAGAGGCTGGCCAGAGGGCATGCAGAGGGAGAGGGTTCTGGAAACCGGGTAGGAGAGTGGACGGCCCGAATGCGGTGGAAGAAGAGACTTTGGAGAGGGGAGAGGAACTCAAATCGCGTTCATTCCTCTGTTCATTCATTCACTTATCCAGTACCCAGTATACCGGGGCTGTGGAGAGGCTGGGCCCTATGCTGTGCCCACGGTCTAGCTGGGGAGACCCACTGGTAAAGGGTCAACTGCAAAGCCACAGGATCCGTGGAGAGAGAGAGAGTCAAGCCCTGGGCACCAGACAGCAGCTCGCCCAGCCCCAAGGGAGGGCAGGCCAGGGAGGGGAAGAAGGCTGGGAGCTTCCTAGGAGAGGGAGGAGACTGGGCAAAGGAGGAGGTGGGGAGAACAGGGGGAGGGGAGCCTGGCAGAAGTGTTTATCTGCAGGGCTGGAGGAGGGCTGTCACCCAGCTTCTCACAGGAAGTCTCCCAGACAGGGGTGAGCAGGGCCTGGCGGATGGGGCTCAGCACGGCCGCCCCAAGGGCTGGGAAAGCCCTATTTCCTCCAGGCCGGGCTGCCTCGGGCCAAGCTCACTCTGGCCTTAGTTTCCCCACTGCCCCTGGAGGGAAGGAAGGCAAAGACTTTGAGCCCTAGGGATGAAAGGCTCCGCCCAGGCCCAGACCACCACTCCCTGTAAAACAGGGCGGGTGACGCCGCTGCTCTTTTTGGCTGGTGAGTAGCCTGATCACCTTTGAAGATGAAACATGCTCGGGCCTAATGAGGAGTCAGTTGGCCAAGGTGGGAGCAGGGCTGGGCTGTGGGAGCCCGGCACCTGCCTCACCTGGCCCCTTCCGGTCAGCACCCGCCCAGGGGGACAGAACACTTCCCATTTCTGTGCAGATCCCCACGCCCGCACCAGCCCCACCTCTTCCCCTTCCCCAGACCAGGGCCCTTTCCCTCCTCTGCTCCTGGCTACCTCCCTGTCAGGCTGGGACCAATCCTAGGTGGGCAAGAGGGGCAGCCAAGGCCTTGGAGAACAGCCTTGGCCTCACGTGCCCCCTTCACTGCCCTGGGCGGGGCCCACGCCCTACGCTTTTGGGACACCCTGTCGAGACACACTGAACCCTCCATGTTTCCAGGCCACACGAGTCATTTCCAAAATGGTAGCTGACCAGCGGGACACAGCTTCCTTTACACGCATGAGAACAGTGCTCAGAATAAAGGACACCCTCAGGCCACTTATTCCTCTTCTTCCCTGGGTGTGGAACAGACATTTGCTACCAGATGGGCTCCAAAAAGCAAGGAGCCAAGTGGAGGCCTCTGGCCTGGCGGTCACAGCTCTGCTGGGTGAGGTCACAGGCGTAGCCTCCAAAGTGTTTGAAGTGCACACTCTCCACTGGGCAAATCAGACGCAAGCCTCTTTTCTGCCACTGCTCCCCTTCTTTCTCTTTCCTTTTTCCTTCCCTCAGTCCAGCCTGGGGCCTGTCCATTTGTGTCCTGCTCAGACAGATCCTTCCTGCCCACGGGCCAACCCCACCTCCTTTCTAGAGGCCGTGGAACATCCAAATACAGCCTCTGCGACCAGCTCTTTTCCCAGGAAATCGTTGGGAGAACAGAACGGGGCAGGCACACAGCTCAGACTCTCCTGGGAGGCAGGCAGCAGTCTCGTAAATGCACTAATATTAGGCACAACTCAAAGATAACCTTACCTACGTGCTCCAGGAGAGGCGCATCCACCTGGGATCATCCTATCTTCTTAATGGTTCGCTTGTGTTCATTAAGTAAATTAATTCATTTATCTGATTTGCAGAGCAATGCCCAAAGGGTGGACTTCTGGATTGTCAACACCCACCCTCCAAGTGAGCTTTTGGAATTACTACTTTCCTAAATTAGGAAGATGTCTATCTCCATTCCTTATCCTCGAGGCTCCAGGGAGAGGGGAGCTCACGGAGATCTCCACCCTTCCCCCGGCCTTCCCCACCTCCCAGAGCCAAGCTTGGGGCTCCCACTTTGAAGCCCCTACATCCTACACCACTGCCCCTGCTTGACCTTCACCCCCCAGTGTCCCCAGGCCTCCCCATTCCAAACCGCACAACCTGCAGGCTCAGGGATACCACTTTGTCCTCGACTCCCACCAAAGCCGGGCTTTCGGAAGAGCTGGGCAATGTCTGGAAAGTCCATTAGGAGGAAATGGGGAGGGGCGCCTGGGTGGCTCAGTCGGTTAAGTGTCTGACTTCAGCTCAGGTCATGATCCTGGGGTCCCGGGATCGAGCCCCGCGTCGGGCTCCCTGCTCAGAGGGAGCCTGCTTCTCCCTCTCCCTCTGCTCCTCCCCCCACTTGTGTTCTCTTTCTCAAGTAAATAAATAAAATCTTTTTTTTTAAAAAAAGGAAGAACTGGGGGAAAGGCCAAGGACTCAGCCTCAGTGGCAACCACGGTGAGGAACAGGGAGGAAGCGCCCAGCTCCACTCCCCTCACCAGGATTTCGCTCCTGCATCCTCTCCAAGCTGTGCTGTACGACTCCCGGAGCACCCCATGCTAACACATCCGTACCGGACCATCGAGGATGCCGCAAAACCCCGGAGCAGGGCCAGGGGGATGCGCATGCCCGTGCACACAGCACCCCACTGCGCCTCCGTGAGGGGCACGGGCAAGGGCCCTGATTACAGGCTCTGCAGGGACGGTGAGCACTTCCTCTCAGCAGAGGGAGGCAGCTTGCTGGAATTTTAAGGCCCTGGGGTGGCAATAAGGCCCTCCAGGCTGGGCAGTGTGGCCGGCCCTGCCTTCCGCGCTAGCTGGCGGTGCCGCACCCTGGCTGGGCGGGCAGGCGCGGGGGGGCGGGGGGGGGGCGCTCACCTTGCGGTCGAGCTCAGCACTGGCCTTTGGCTGTTGCCCCTGGCACGGTGGCAAGGTCTCAGAGCCCAGGTACTGCCTGAGAGATGATGGCCTCATGAGGCTCAGCAGCTGGCTGAGCGAAGACAGCTGGGAAGGAGAAGAGAGGCTGTCACACAGAGCGGGGGTTGGGACACCTGGGGACTTGGCCTCGGCCGGCACTGGGAGGTCAGAGCATGGGCTCTGGAGCCAGACCACCAGCTTCCACGACCTGGATCCACCTCTCCCCGGCATGCTGTGTGGCCTCTTGGAGCCCGAGTGTCCTGTAGCTGCAAGATGCGGAGACAGCCACACACCCTGTTCCCAGGACAGGAGAGCCGCGCGTGCACACAGGGCCTGGCACAGGCCGAGCCTTCCTTCAAAGGCGTGAACTCAGATCTCTGTAGGCTGGGGCTTTGATCCACTTCCCTGGAGGGAGCACTCAGGCCTGGAAAAACCAAGGCCACCCCGAGCGGCTGCTCAAGTCCCTCTCCCCGCTGAACTTGCTGTGGGCTTGGAGGGGCTCACGGAGGAGCAGAGGCTCTGTGCCCCCCGCCCCCTCTCATGCTGGCTGTGCCTGCTCCCCATCGCTCTGCCTGCCCCCATTTCTCCGCCCCGCCCTTTCCCTTCCAGGGGATTTCAAAGCAAATCCAAACACTGTATCATTTTACCCATAAAGAGCTTCTCACCCAAAAGGATAAGGATTTCTTTCCCCAGCATGGTCACAGTATCATTCTCTTGCCCAGCAAAATTACCAAGAATTCCTTATATGATCTAACACCGTGTTCGGGTTTCTCTGACGGTCTCAAAAAATGTCCTTACCAGTTAGTTGTGTTGTTGGAACGGGGATTCCCCACAAGGTCCGCACACTGCATATGGTTGCTATGTCCCTTAATCTGCTAGCTGCCCCCCACCCCCCATGTAAACTGCTTACCCTTTCTGAACAAATGGGAGTGCCCCCACCCCTCCCAGGAACAGGGCCTGCAGGAGTCCAGGTGTCAGCAGTGAGCCACGCCTTCGGGCCCAGCCCCTGCACCTGGTTTGGGCCGCCTGGGTTCAGCCCCAACAAGGACCATTCAGCTGCCCTGGAACTAACTTGTGGTCAGGACAGAGGCAGGCAGTATGTGGGTCCCTGGCGCCTCTGGGCCCACCTGCAACCCTGGGAAAGGGGTGGATGCAGATTGAAGGAGCAGAGCCAGCCGAGTTCACAGAGGCACCATCTTTTTAGATGTAGCAGATGTAGGCTGGCCCAAAGGGCTTAGGCCTGAGCCCCCAGCCCAGCTCCCTGCTCGAGCCCAGCCTTGCCCGGCACACCTGGCTTCCTCTCCCTGACTCACCCGCAGACACCTGCTTAGCATCTCAGCCGGCCACAGGCTTAGACAGCCCACAAGAGCAGCTGGGCTGAGGGCTAGGAGACAGGCCTAGGGCCTCGGCTCCTGGAAGGGGGCCAGGGCTTCCCGGCCTCGTGTCTGATCCCTTTAGAAACAGAGAGGAGGCAGGAAGAGAGAGAAGGTTCTAGGCGAAGAGAGGCACCATCTGGAGCTTCCCCCAAACCAGAGCTGGGCCGTCTTGCTCAGGCCTTGCGAGGCTGGGGATGGTTTCCAAAACAGCCCTGCCTGCTTGGGGATCACAGCTGTGCAAGCACAGGGGCCAGGCTCCGCAGCCCACGCCCCCAGAAGCCGTCCTCAGGCAGGCAGCCTCGCCCCAGCTAGCCCCTCCCTGCTATGGGAGGCCCGGGCGGGGCTGGGCAGGGGAGTACACAACAGCAGCTCAGCGGCTCGCTAGCTCCCATGTTTTTCCTCTCCACAAAAACTGCTTCGCCCCGCTCAGCGCAGCAAGCTGCCGCCTTCTGATTGCTTACCCTCCTTTGTTTCCAGTTCTGGCAGCCACACCCCTCTCTGGAATAAGGGCTTATTTGGACCGTGCATCCCAGCAGGGAGGGCCAGGGCCTGACATCGCACCTCCCCACCTCAGCCGGCCGCTGGGAGCTGTCTCTACAAACAGCCCATTAGGACAGACACCTCCAGGCAAGAGGCAAATGATCACCCAAGCAGGCAGGCCTCCACTGGTCTTGTCCGCCCAGGAGGCAGCAGGAGGCAGGCGAGTTCCAGCCGGGCTACTGGCCACACGGCCGGTCACTCCTGTGCTCAGGCCCCGGTGGTGCTTCCATCTGCCCAGTGGAGGAGGCCAGGATCTTAAGTGTCAGTGAGGCTCGGGCAGCCCTGCTGTCCCCTGGAGCCGGCACCCTCACCGGGCCTTGCGACCGGACACGTGCAGCTGCCCCTATCCGCCTTCCAGCCCCAGCCCCACCCCCACCCCCGACACTGCCGCCCACGCCACCCACACCTGCCAATCCTCTCACCCCGAATGACTTTTGCGTCTACCACATTTACCACCTCCTAGCGCATTCTGTAATTTACTTGTTTACCATGTTTCTTACCTGTCCCCCCCCTTGCTAGAACGTAGGGCCCACGAGGGCAGCTTTGTTCCCCACAGTGTCCCCCGGGGTCGAGCACAGCCCCTGGCACATGTTATATGTTTCCTAAGTCTTCGTTCCCTGAATGAATGCAGGGCAGGGCAGGACTGCCGTCAGCCTCTCCCTAGGAGATGCAGACCCTTGAACTCCTGCACTTGGGCCATTTACAGCCCGTGTCTTCCCGACTCCAAACTGGAAGACGTGGCTTGACGAAAGAGGCTTGCTGTGTTGCAAGAGGTGGCCTGGGAGAAGAAGCAAACTCCCGACTGGTCTCCAAACCTGTTCCACCTGTGTCTTGCCGATCTTGGTAAAGGGCTTCTCCATCCTGCCAGTTGCATAGGTCCAGAAGCCCTCCTTGACTCCTTCCTCTCACATCTCCTGTCCCACTGGCTGTGCTTGGGAAACACACCTAGAGTCGGACCACTTCTCACCACCTACGCCGCTATCTCCCCAGGCCAAACCACCTTCATCTCTTACCAGGATTACTGCAATTGCCTAAGCTCAACATAGCAGCCAGAGTAATTTAAAAATATTTTATAAATTAGATTCTGTTTCTCTTATCAAAACCTTCCAATGGCTCTCCAGCCACAGTGGCTTCTGTTTTTCCTCTAACCTAAGAGAACTCTGGCTGCCCCAGGGCCTTTGCACTGGCTGTTTCCTGTGTGGAATGCTCTTCCCCGAGAAACCTGCCTGACGTTTTCAGTTCTATGCACAAATGTCCCCATCTCCCAACATTCCCTCTCCTCTTTATCTGGCTTTATTTTTCTCCAGGACCCTTATGACCATCTAGTATGGCAAATATTTACTTTTTTCTTGGTGCCTGTGTCTGTCTCCCCCTAGACAGTGAGTTTCACAAGGGAGGGACTGAATTTTCTTCAGGGTTGTATCTTTAGTGCCCCAAGCAGGGTCTGGAGCACACTGGTGCACGAAGCTAAAACCCTGCTGTTTCTGGGATATTCCCAAGATTCCCAAGGACAACAGGAAGCAGCCTGACTCCAAGGCTCTCCTGGAAAATGAGGCCTTGGCGGGGGGGGGGGGGTGCATCCTGACCACCTACAGAAGTCCCATTCCCCAAATTCTAGTTCTTCAGCTCCTACTCCTAGGGCCTTAGACTATAGCCTGAGACAGAGAGTCAAGCCATCCAGGGGTCAGGGACTCCTCCTGCCCAGCAGTGCCCTGAGAGCCTCTGCCTAGGCACTAACCCCAGAACTTCTCCTAGAGGAGTCAATTCTCTATCCCCCGGCTCCCCTTCAGAGTCAATCAACTGATAAGGTTTATCAAGCATTTGTACATCAATGAAGGAAGTAGAAGCCACAGCCCTTGTTCTCCTATCTGCCACTTAGGGATAAAGCTCAAACGACCAGCAGGGCACCTTCAGCATGAAATGGCAGGCGTGGTCTGGGCTGTCACCACGATGAGAGCCAAGGAAGGGGCTGGAGAAGCAGAGACGGCATGTTGCAGTGGTCAAGGGCAAGGACCCTGCGGTTGAATCCTAGCTCCAGGGCTTTCCCCGCTGTATGGCCCTGAGAAGCTTCCTAACTGCACCTGCCTCAGTTTCCCCATCTGTGAAAAACATCTGATGGTAAGAGTCCTTACAGCCGGGGGGCTGCTATGAGAGGTAAGCTCTGAGAACAGCCCCTGGGACACGTGCTATGCAGAGTGTTGGCTACAGCCGTTTCAGTTGGGATGTGATGATGGAAAGGAAGGAGGGTCAGGGCACAGAGCTGTGTGCAGAGGGAGTGGGGCAGGCCCGCGAGGAGGGCTGGGAAGAACAGGTGGTGCGGGCAGGCCACATAGAGAAGCTGGGAAAGGGGGCGTTGTGGGGGTTTGACGCGGAGGCTGTGGGGCCAAGGTGGTGGCCCTTTGAAGGCAAGGATCCGTCTGACAGGCCAGACTGGAAAGGGGAGCGCCTACAGCCCGGAGACCTGGGAGGCGCCTGCAGTGGAGATGGGGGAAACAGGCGGCGGGGGGGGGGGGGGGCCTGCAGGCAGGCCCCAGCTGGTCCCTCCTCTCCCCGAGCCGCCAGGAGGCTGGCGCAGCTGTGCACAGCCCGCACCGGCGGCCGGCAGACTCTCCTCTCTGCAACATGAGCACTGACTCAGCCTCCTAGCCCTGGCTCAGGACACCTTCTCTGGAAGCCACTTCATAGCCCTCGGGCAGTGTTAGTCACTGGACCCTCAGCCCACCTTTCTCACACCCTGTCTTCGGAGGCTGGTTCCTGGCACAGAGCCTGGCACGGAGACTGGCACACAGGCGGTGCTTAGCTGGGGTCTCCTGAAGAGATGGGCGCGCGGTGGGCATGCGGGCAACTGGTATGGCGGGAGAGCCCTGGAGCTGGGTGGGGCTGGGCCGGGCTTGGCCCCTGGCAGGCTCTGGGGAGAAACTGGGGGCTTCTGGGCCTGGATGCTTGAGCCACTCTTTGGTCACTGCCAGACACTGCAGGCGGACAACACCCCCCCTCCCCCACCCCACACACACAGCTGGTCCTGCCTTTCCTGAGCTGGACGCTCTGGGTTTTCCCCTCTGCTCTGCTGACACCGTGCTCTGTTCTCCTTGGGGCTCACAGACCCCCATCTGCCCTCCAGACCCTCTGGGTCCAGGTGGTCTTGTTTGCCTGCTGCATCTCTGCCGGTCCCCACTCCTAACAGCCTGGCACCCCCGAGACACTGTTTGGTCTCTCCTTCCTCACAGAGATGCTCTGTCATCAGGCTTTCATCTGTGTGAAGTCACCCCAGTGACTTCCCCAGGTCTCTGGGGAAAGGGAACTTCCTCTCGCACACTCCAGAGGCTCCACTCCAGGCTCATTCACTCTACAAGTACACGCAGAGTCCCCGTGTGTGCCAGGCACTGTGCTGGGTGCTAACGGGCAGAAAGATTTGGTCCCTGCACTCAAGGAGCTGCTGCTGCTGGTGGGGTGTGTGTGTGTGTGTGTGCACACGCACACGCACATGTGTACACGGACCCTGACCCAATAAATAAGAAAATGTCAGATAAATAATTTAAAACAGGGGGATGAGCCAGGGGACTTTGCATTGGGTGGTCAGGAAAGGCCTCTGAGTGGTGGTGTCATTTCAGCAGGAACTGGAATGACAATAAGCTGCAGCCAGGCTAAGTCCTCGGGAGAAAGTATTTATGGCAAAGGGGGCAGCCGCGGCAAAAGCCAGGCCGAGCCCACTCGGACAAGCCAATACAACCAGTCAGCTTTCTGAGCTCCCGCCCTGCAATCCTGGCATTGCAGACTCAGCGATATTGTCCACCCTGCCCTGGGATGTGCCGGAACGTTCTCTCAGCACTCTGGGCAAGGGGTTACGCAGGCTTCCCGAGGACACCTCTATGAACAGAGACGCACAGCCCTTCACAGGGACTGCCTGGTCCCTCTCGTGTTGCTGAGCTAGAGGGCTCGGTTGTAGCCAGCAACTATTCTTCGATCCCAGGGAGCTTCTAGGGGGTAAGGGTGAGGGCATGCTCAACCTCTCTGCCACCCATCCTTGGGCTGGCTGGGACCCACGCTGCCCCCAGGGCCCCGAGCTGTGGAGGCTGTGGTCAGAGCTTTCTGGAGAGAAGGGGAGTGGGGAAAGAAGACAAAGCTCTACTTTCCTCTCTGCCCTCTTCTCCAATGCCTAACATCGGAAAAGGAGAGGCACTAGGACTGAGTAGTTTTAAGGCCATATTGTTTGTTTTCACTTGCACTGTTTTTCCTTCCACCTATAAAAAGTAATATAAGCAGGGGCTGGGGAAGGACAGAATGGAAATTAGCATTTAACGGGTATGGAGTTTTTATTTGGGAGGATGAAAAAAAGTTCTGGAGGTGGATGGTGGTGATGGCTGCACAACTTTGTGAATGTGCTCAGAGCCACTGAATTGTACGCTTTGAAACGGCTGAACTCTGCACTTAAACTTGTCATGATGGTAAAAAAAAAAAACAACAACAAAAACGTTAAAGCGGTAAATGTTATGTCATGCATATTTTACCACAGCTAAAAAAAAAACCAAACCAACAAGTAACACATGCTCCCAGCTCACTGCTCTAGCCTCAGTGCCTAGCACACAGTGGGCATACAAAACAGTAATTGCTGAATGCAAGGATATGAGGGAAAAATTCACACTCGACTTGCCTCTCGTGGCCTGAGGCTCCCAACCTTTGGGAAAAGCCACAGGAGCAGGCAGGCCTCGGCGGGGGGGCGGGGGGGGCCCTCTGCTCACCCACAGGCTTCCTGGGTCCAGGGGATGCTGCCCAGCTGAGGCCAAGACTCACCTGGGCTTTCTCTTGCCAGAGAGGGAGCGTCTCCTGCTGGTCCAGCATCTGGGCAATGACCACGAGGCTGAGCTGGCTTCGAAGTTGCCTGTGGGGAAGGAGCAAGAGGGACTGAGGGGTGGGACACTCTGAGAGCAAGTGGGCTGGAGGCACATGTGGGGGCAGCATGGGAGAGGCGAGCTGTCTGGAGTACTCCGTCCTGCTCTCCTGCTTTATAGTATTTATCATTTATTTTAGAAGCAATAAAACATGACGGCAGAGTTAAAAAATAAGCAAAAGGAAAAAAAAATTAAAGTCACTGGTAATTTCAGAGGTTGGCTCAGCAGTGTTTTTCTTCTCAGTTCATCTTTCTGAGTATCTGTACTTACCTGCGGATACACAGAGATAAGGAATGTTCAACTGCTTTGGCACAGACCTTTGCCTTCTCTGTCCTTGGCAGCATTAGAATCTTTCAGCCCACACAGGGTAGTGGAAAGTGGGGCTAAACTTCGTTTTTCTTTCACCGGGCATCAACTTTCCTTTGGAGAAGCTGCTCACCCAGATTGGGCACATGGGCCAGGCCCGGCCCATCAGAGTCTGAGTGACTGAGCCTCTTAGAGGTCGCCTCAGTGCCCTGGTTTGGAATTATCTAGCAGAACGTGTGCCGTTCCAGCAGGGCCACCGATCAGGCAGGAGGTGATCCCACACCTGCTGGTGACCACCGCGCCTCCTTGTGGGAGAGCCTGGAGGATGAAGCAAGCAGAGACAAGAGGACAGGGACAGAGCTCTGACAAAACCCAGAGCCTGCTGTGCCTGAAGCCCCCGGCCCCTGGACCATTCAGGAGGTCAGCTGGTCATGTGGAACAATAAAGTGCCTTTGGCTTCTAGTCACTTTGGGCTGGGCTTCTGAGTCCAGCACTAATTAGTCTTAACTGATTCACTCAGGGGGCTAGTATCTCTTCTCTTTGGGACGGAAGACCTCTGATGGGGATTTCAGAAGCTCATGTTCAGGGCTCTGATTTCCATGGGTCCTTGAGGACTAGAGGGAGCAGAAAGAGAAGAGAGGAGGGGCGTGGAGACCAGAGGATGAGGCTGGGGTGGGCAGTGGCTGAGGAGGCTGTGGGGGAGTCGAGGGCCCCTCCTCTGTCCACGCTCCCTGCCACAGCTCGTCTCCACCAAGAGGGTCACATCTCTCTTGCACCTCCATACACTCTGGGAGCAGACGTCAGCCCCTGGCACGGACCTTGATGTGGCCACAGTCCCTAGTTTCTGCAGAGAGCCATCAGAAGAAGCAAAGGAGAGGTCCCGAAGCTAGAGGAAACATAAGGCACATGAAGGAAGACACTTGGGCTGGAACCATCTCCTTAAAGGGGAAACGCCCTCAGGTCACGGCCCTGCTGAGGGGACCCACACAGCCGCCCTCACCCGTATTCCTGGAATGACACCACAAGGAACTGAAGGACCGGACATGTGGAACAGCCTGCCACAGGCAGCACGGGGAAATGCTAAGCAAGTACTCTGGGGAGGCAGGATCCAGCCTGGCCACTTCTGGGCTTCGTGGTCCAGCCTCCGCTGCAACTTCCCCAGGGCCGGGCCCTCTGCTGCCCGGGCCTCACATGACAGAGGGAACTGGGGTAGGAATGGGGAACTGGGGTAGGAACTGGGGTAGGAATGGCTCCTCGAAGTTCCTGTGGGGCTGGGCAGGCTGGAACTCCAACCAGGGGCCTTGCTGAGTTTCTTAGCACTTCGTCAAGAAAGTCAGAGGGATCAACAAAGCAACAGGCTCTTGATGAAATGGAGAAAAAAAAGCAGCAGCACCACGATACATCAGAAAGGAGAACACGAGAAAGGGGGAAATGCACAGTGCTGGGGAGGAGGAGGGGCGGCAAAGACGCTCACACAAAGCAGGTGGGAATTCGAATTGCACATCCACTTTGAGAAACTGCTTGGCAAGATCAACTAAAGATGAACATGTGCTCACCCATGACCTAGCAATCCTATGCCTAGGTACCTATGCGCGTGCACACAAGGCGGAAGTGCACCTTAGGTACACCATTAGTACGCATACCCAGACTGGGCCCTATTGATCCAACTCAATCCTACTCGTAATGACAGTGAGCTAAAACGCTATCCAAAGTCCCGGATGATCTTCACTGTGCCACTCGAAAGAAGCCAGATTCAAAAGAATACATGTGCATGATTAAGTTCCAATAAAGTACAAAAATGGCCAAAGAGCAGCTGTTGGAAGCCTGGGTAGTGATGGCTGGGGGGATGGGCAGGTTCTGCTCATGTTGCATTTCTTGCTCCGAGTGCAGGTTTCCCACGGGTTCCACTTGTGGTCACTGAGCCATGCACCTACGGTCTGTGTTCTGTTCTGTTTGTATGTTGCAGTTCAATAAAACTATTACTTAAAGAAGCAATTCAGGTGGAGGGAGAGACAGGATTGCCAGATTTAGCCAGTAAAAATAGAGGATGCCCAGTTAAATTTGAATTTCTTATTGACAAAGAGTCATTTTCTTGGCGTTCTCCTGCACAATGTTTGTATTTTATCTGGCAACCCAGGGAGGGGCCAGCCATCCCTGGTCCATTCGGGATCAGGAAGACCTGACATTAACCAGCACAGGGCCCTCCCGCACCCCGTCTCCTTTTAGCCATGACCCCTTTCTGCGGAGCACCTCAGCGTCCCCACCTGACCTTCTGAGAGCTGTGGAGAGGCAGCCTCTTTTAGCCGCATGGGCTAGAGAACAGGAGTCCCTCATCATCCCCCACACCGGACTCCTGTGAGCGCGGCCAGACCCTCGCCCCTCAACCAGCGCCCCACCCTCCCGTTTTCTCCCGGAGCCCTGGCCACACGGCACACCCCGCATGGCTTCCATCTCATTGGCAGCCAGGACCTGCTCTCCGGCTGTTGCCCGGGAGCCCCAGCAGCAGCTGGGCCGGGAACACAGTGGGAGGTAAATGGCCCCTCTGTGCCGCGCTCCAAAGTTAACTCGCAGCCAGAGTCAGAAGTCCTGCATCTGGGCTTCGTTAATCCAAAACCCAGGCCTCGGAGGGCGGGGAGGGGCCAACCTGGGGGCGGGGGTGCTGGCAGGCCAGCGGAGCAGAGCCGGGGTGGTTCCAGAAGGGAAGAAGCAGGCTGGGTGGATCAGGACAGGGCTGTCGTCCAGAGAAGAAAAAAAGCACCAGAAAAAGCACCGGCTGAATGGATGAAAAGGAACCCACATCTGAGGGTGGCATGTTCCCCCTCGCTGTCCCCGCCTGCCCACTGCCTTTCGTTCTGACGGCCCCCCTGCCTTTTAAACACAGTCTCCTGAGTTCTCAGTTCCCACTGGGACACAGAGACAGGGGACGGGACCGCTTTTTAATTTTAGACTGAGACCTTACTCTACGGAGGAGAAAACACAAAGACTCACCCCAAATAACACCCAAACTATGCAGGGGGCAAGCAAAGGGGTCCTGTGGGCCCAGCCAAGGTTGGCCAGGGGCTCTTCCTCTCTCTCCTAGAAGCTGCTGGACCCCACCCGGCAAGGACTCCCCGGGACTCAAACCAGACGGACAAAGGAGGATGTAGAAGGCACTGGAGGTATCCCAGCCACTGTCATATAAGGAAACAAGCTCCAGCTTTCTGTGCTCACCAGGCCAGGCCTCTGCCTCAGCCCTGCCCCCATGCCCTGCTCCCCCCACGGGCCTCTGTAAGATCAGGACACGGGATTGGCACTCAGAGGAGCCTAAGGCACTGCGAAATCTGGAATCCACAGCGGAGCTGGGAAGTGGAATGCAGGCACTCGGCTTCCCAGCCTCCGGCCTTCCCGTCGCTCCTGCAAGGGGCAGCCCAGCCAGGCACCGGGCACCATGCTTAAACTCGGAAGAAGGCAAAGGCGCTAACCAGTGTGGGCCGCTAGGATGTTGGGACAACCGCCCTGGTCAGTGCAGCCCCCTCTGGCGCCCCTCATCTTCACTTGTTCAGAGGAGAATGAGGCCCTGCCAAGGCTGAACTACCCTAAAAGGCCATCAGGCATCTGGCCAAAGGCGTGAGCTGCCTTTTCCATGTCTCTAGGGCAGTTCAGGAAGCAACAATAGTGGCCTGTTCCGCTGTGGAAATGCGGCCCAACACCCTGCCTCCGGGCATCTGCCCGCCTTGCCTCTCGGGGACTGTCCACACTGCCTCCCAGGCATCACGGCCACCCTTCATGCCCCCGCCTCCGCCCACCACCCCCTGCCCACAGCCCTTCACTTGGAGCCTATCCTGCACGTGAGCAAATACTACCCAGGCGGGAAGAACCAGGGCCTGGGCTCAGAGCTCAGGGCAACCTCCTTGGGAGTCTGCCCCGTCATCCACACACACGTTGGGACACTCGTGAGTGCGGGCATGTACAGTGCAGACAGGAAGAGACAGCCACAGATCCATACGGGGGACCACCACACGGCAACATGAAAGGTCCATCCACAACAGCTCACTTCTACATGGACGAATCCCACAAAGTGTTGACACTACGCCGAAGAAAGCCAGACACAAGAGAGAACACTGAGCACGGTCCCATTTATGCACAGGTTTAAAATCGGGCAAAAGGAAGCTATGGGATAGAAGTCAGGGAAATGGTTTTCTTTGTAGAGGGAATGCCTGGGAGGGGCTTGAGAGGGCTTCTGGGGGGGCGGGTGACCGTGCCCTATGATATAGCAGTAGTTACACAGACAGCCCCGTTTGCAAAGTGCACTGACTAGCCACCTCTGATGCGTCCTTTCCTGCAGGGATATCATATGAATGAAAAGGTTACTACTATTTAGTAGATAAAGTTCACACGGACAATTACAACCCATTTCCCACCCTCTTTATCATCATATTTCCCCCTTTCTTTTCGGTATTGTGGTGAAATCCGGAGAACCTCAGGCTTAGCACACTTCTTAAAAGTCACGCCATCTAGGTGGCGCCTGACCGGCTCAGTTGGTAGAGCATGTGACTCTTGATTTCAGGGTTGTTAAGTCATGAGTTCAAGCCCCACGCTGGGCTGACAGCTTACGTAAAACAAACAAACAAAAAATAGTCACGCCATCTAATGTCCGCGCATTTGTCCATCTAATTAGGCCCTCCACACACCTGAGGGAAGTGGC